ATCTCATTAACGATAGCCAAATGGCGGCCGCTTTAAGGCCGAAAATGCATTGAAATCGCACATTTTCACCATTCCGGACCCGTATCTCAGTTATGCATGGATGGATTTTGTTCAAATTTGGTACATACATTAAACATAATAGGACCTTGATGCACGTCTTTTTTTTTTTCGGATCAAGTTCGAAATGGCCGACTGGCGGCCATTTTGTTAAAGAATTCAGTTCTGGATCCGTATCCAAGACATGTCTGGATTGATCAAGTTCAAACTTCACACACACATGGTACATCATGTCACAAATAGATATGTGCCTTTGTTTCATGATCTGCTTAACAATAGCGAAATGATGGCCATTTTAAGGCCGAAAATGCATCAAAATCACGTATTTTCACAATTCCAGAACCGGATCTCAGTCATGCATGGATGGATTTTGTTCAGATTTAGCACAATGTGTTGTACATATGCAGGTGCATTTCGGTCATGATCTGCTTTGAATGTATATGTCACTCAAATATGAACGGAACGGGGACGTGTCATTGACAATGACTTGTTATATCTGATATAGCTAATATTTGTCATTATAATATCCCTAAGTTCTTTGTAGCTTTCAGACTTTAGAACAAAGTGTTCTAGAGTTTCATCACCTTTCTTGCAGCATAGACATGTACAATCACTATTGACATTTGCCCACTTTCTTTTCTCATATGCAAGACCTAGAGTGTATGACCTTGCTTTGAATTTAATTATGATTAGAGTTATGCCTGAAGAAGCCTTGATAAACTATTAACAAAAATAATCAGAATAATTTTAATAGAAAATATTCATACACAATGAGAAATTACAATGCTGCTTTACATCAAAAAAATCAGAAATACATTTTTGAATTGGCATCATGTATATTAAACATGTATATAACTTAAAGCACACAGTCATCATACCTTCAAGGCTTGCTGTGTTTGAAGATTCGGAGGGTACCGTATATGTACATTCTGCAGGTAGTGTGTGAAATATAATATGGTGTTTTATTCCTGATCTTAAAGTCGAAATGTGTGTTGTGATGTTTTGTTTTGTCAGAGGACTGTGAAATCAGTGAAATACAGATAGAACCGGAGAAAGATGTAAACCAAGCATCTAATGCAGGTAATTAAAGCCTTCTTACAGGTTCTGTTACTCTACAGAAATTTTAGCTTTGTGATCCAAATTAACTTAGTCATCTTTAGTCAGACTTGGTTTGTGGTTATGCACATAATTTCTCAGACATTGCCATGACGACTTTTATTCAGAGTTAATATATTTTTCAATCGAATGATTTTTGACTGACTGACTGACTGACTGACATGGTTAATGGTTACCAAGTCTGCCCAACATGGGGATATTACAGATTTGTTCCGAGTGTTGAAAAGTACTCTTTATGTTTTTCTGCGCCAAATCAAACTTTCAGTGATCCCTTTTTGAGATATTAGTGGTAGACTGCTCGCCTCTAATCTGGTGTGTGGCATAATGTCCGCCCTGCGCTCAACAGTGAAAAAAATAGTACATTCTCCCCAATTGCTATTCTTACTTATTGCATTATTAGTTGATAGACGTCATCCTGTCAGTTGGGACTTAAAGCTGTCATTCCATTATTACTCCTGTATTACAGAAATCATCCCCTAGGGAGCCCTTTTCTTTACATTTGTTCTTATTCAAAGAACGAACACACACATTCACAGTAACAAAGGATTTTTAGTCCGTGTTTGAACAAAGTCCAAAATTGGAACCCTTTATTTGATAGATACAGTATGTGTTAATTTTGTGATTATTGAAGCTATAAAATAGCAATGTAAAAACACTTCTCTATGCGCAAAAATAATTTCTGATGTGAGTGACCGTAATTCAAGTTCACAACAGTTTCTGTGACAGTATACGTGCATACGTCAATGATAAACGATTAATTCCAACTTATTTAATGCCTGTTCTATATAAAATTGCTTCTTCTGGTTGTACATGCTTTACAAACAATGGTTCACACAAAATAGGCCCCTTATGTTGTTTATATTTACTAGACACTATTTTATAATTTTCAGTCACATGATCAACTGTCCAGTTTTCTGTAGAGGCTCTGTTTGGCATGTGTCCTCAGTGTTCATCAGTGCCATGAAAAATTGCATGAAATTTGGTAGCTTATATATTTCCATGACTACTATGACTTACAATGCAGTATGATTTATGTCAAACAGATGTTTTCAATATATGCTTACATTATGCCCAAAGGAATAAGCCCTCATGACATTATTACTTGGTACATGTACATGGCAATCTCATTTCAAATTTATGTTGAGCACCATTCTGCAATATCTATATTCAACTCTAAATGTGATATTCAGAAGTATTCTATCTCAGCCTTAGAAAGTAATCTCTAGGAAAGTTATTTATGTCATGTGTTGACAGTTCAGATAGTATGTGAAGTGTCTTGAACCATTATGCACATCACTGCTGTCATCTTTT